TGGGGTCCCTGAAAGGGCCTGGAGGGTCCCAGGTGGGTTTTGCAGGTCACTGAGAGGGCTTAGGGTGTCCTGGGGGGGAGATCAGGTCTCTGAGGGGATTTGCGGTGTCTTTGAGGAGATTTTGATGGTTCCAGAGGTGGATTTCTGAGGGAATTTCAGGGGGTTTGCCTGGATTTTGGGGGGTCACCGTGTCAGTCCTGTCTGGCCACAGCCAACTAAAACTCCTATGAGGCCATTTCCTGTCCCACCACAATGCCTCTGCCAGCCCAGCGAACCGACCCCAGGGAAAGGGGAATCCCAATTCCCCCCTCGAACCCCAGAGACCCCCAAAACTCAGCATACAGAGACTCAGCATACAAAGACACCCTTTAGGTGTCCCCTAAAGCTCAGCAGTGGGGTTCAGGGGATCTCCCAGCCCTCAGGGGAGGGGTCCTGGGGGTGCCCACAAAAGTCCAGGGGGAGATGTACCACATCCGGATAAGGGGATCCCAGTGCCCCCAGTATATCCCAGTGACCTCCCAGTGAGCCCCACTATGGCCCAGTAACCCCCTCAGTGACCACCCAGTGTATCCCAGTGACCTCCCACTGCCCCCCAGTATGGCCCAGTGATCCTGCAGTGAGCACCCAGTAACCCCCAGTATGGCCCAGTAACCTCCCAGTGTCCCCCGCTGTGTCCTGGTAATTTCCCAGTAACTCCCCAGTCCCTCCCAGTGCCCCCTGGTTCCCCCCAATTGTCCCAGTATCCCCCAGTAATCACTCAGTGCCCCTCAAAGCCTAACTGTCCCCAACGTGTCCCGAGATGCCCTTGGCCTTTCTGTGAGTGTGGGAGGCAGTGTGTTTTTGTGGTCAAATGGTCCAGGGGGGCTCCTGGGGTGAGATGGAGCGTTGGGGACATCAGGGATGGGTTTGGGGACAATGGGGACAGTGGGGAGGGGTTTGGGGACAGTGGAATTAGGGATGTCAAGGGGAGAGTTGGGGCCATGGGGAGGCCCTGGGGACATTGGAGACACCAGGGGGGTCTCGGGGTGTTAAGGGGGGAACTGGGGACACCAAGAGGGTCTTGGGGACACCAGAGGGGTCTCAGGAATCACCTGTTCGTGGAGCTGCCCCTCCCCACCCAAGCCCCTTTAACCCACCCTAAATGTCCCCAATCTCCATTTTTCCTTAAATCCCCTCCTCCCATAGATCCCTTTGATGCCCCAATGCCCTCCAAACCCATTTTAACTCCCCTAAATGCACCCAAAGATCCCCAAAACTGCCCAAATCCCCATCCAACCACCCCCCAGATTGCCCCATTTCTCCTTCAGCCCCCCCTCAAATCCTTTCCACCCACCCCCTCCCCCCCCCAAAGAGGGATCACCTGGCACCCTGGGACAGGAACACAGTGGGCTGTACTGGGGGCACTGGGCTGTACTGGGAGGGCACTGGGAGAGGCTCAGGTGTCCCACGACAATGTGGCCCAGCTCCAGGAGAGATCTGGGGAGCAGTGAGGAGGTACTGGTCTGTCCTGGTCTGTACCCCCAGTCCCCAAAGCCCCTCCCCAGCGCCCCTCCCCACAGTCCCCAAAGACCCTCCCAGACCCCAAAGCCCCCCAGGCCCCTGAGTTGGTCCTGCTGCCCCTTGAGCATCTGCAGCTGCTGCAGAACCAGGCATTTCATCAGCAAATGTGCAGGTGACCCCAAGCTGGGGGTGTGTTGATGTGCTGGAAGGCAGGAGGGCTCTGCAGAGGGACCTGTGTGAGGAAGAGTGTGTCAGCAGGAGCAGGGAAGTGATTGTTGGGCTGGAGTGAGCGCTGGTGAGGCCACCCCTGGAGCGCTGTGTCCAGCTCTGGGCCCCTGAGTTGAGGAAGGCCCTGGAGGGGCTGGAGCAGGTGCAGAGAAGAGCAGCGAGGCTGGGGAAGGGAGTGGAGCACAAGTGGTGTGAGGAGAGGCTGAGGGAGCTGGGGGTGTTGAGGCTGGAGAAGAGGAGGCTCAGGGGAGACCTCCTGACTGTCTGCAAGTCCCTGCCAGGAGGTTGGAGCCAGGTGGGGTGGGGCTGTTCTGCCAGGAAGCAGCAGTAGGACAAGAGGGCTGGGTCTTGAGCTGTGCCAGGGGAGGTTTAGGTTGGATATTAGGAAGCAATTTTTTTCCTGAGAGAGTAATCAGGCCTTGGAATGGGCTGGGCAGGGAGGGGGTGGAGTCAGCGTCCCTGGAGGTGTTGAAGGTGAGAGTGGATGTGGCCTCAGTGCCATGGTCTGGGAAGCACAGCGGGGTTGGATCAAGGGTTGGACTTGATGATCTCGGAGGTCTTTTCCAACGTGGCTGATTCTGTGATTCTGTGATTGCCATTCCTATGGCAGCACATGCTTGAGGCTCTATCCCCAGGGTGATAGAGATGTCTGTCCATATCTATCTCCAAGGTTAGTCTGTAAATGTGTGGTGTTAGAAAAGCAGGCTGAGTTCTGGGCTGGTTGTAGAAGGAGAAAGAAGCCCCCAGCCCAGTGCAAGCAGGCAACCCTCAGCTTGCACATGATGTCCCCTCCCTGCAGGTTCCTGTCCTTGAGCCCAGGCCCTGAGGTGAGGCTGAGAAGTGGCGCGGAGGTGAGCCCAGAGCTGTCCCTGAGGTGAGGCTGAGAATAAGTGCAAGGCAGAGGTGCTGCTGAGGAAGGAGAGCCCTGTGGTGGGGAAGAGAAAAGCTGTGAATGCCCATCCCCGAGCAGGTGCTGTGTCCATCCCCTGTGTGCCAGGTGAGCTGGGGCTTTGCTGCAGAGCTGCGGGCGCTGATTTGAGCGTCTCCAAGTGCTGAGATGGTGGGCACCCAGGAACACAAACTGTGCCTGGCCACGGAGCCTGCAAGGAGGAGCAGAGACAGCCCTGGCAGTGTGGGGGGCCAGGTTGTCCCTGTGCCTTCCCCTGCAGGCCCTGTCTGTCCCTGCTGGGCCCCTGTCCATCCCCATCAGGTCCCTGCCCGTCCCCCCGGGCTGAGCTCCCCCCAGGAAGTGCCGTGGAGCTGAAGCTGCTGCCATCCCCCCCTGCAGCCGCTGCCCCAGCCAAGGGAGCAGCAAAGGCAGGGCCAGGAGCAGAGGCAGCAGCAGGGGAGCCCTGGGGGGGCCGGGAAGGTCTTGTGTGGGTCAGGAAAGAGGCGCTGGGCACGAGGCCGGGGCTGTGCTGAGCAGGCCCAGCCCTCACATCCCCCCAGCCAACGCCGGCTGCCCGGGGGGCTTGGGAGGGACCCCCAGCCCGTGTGCCCCACACTGAGCTGGCAGAGAGAGAGCCAAGGGACAGGGCCACGGGCAGGGCCCCGGGTGAGGGACAGGCAGGGCCATTGCAGGGCCACGGTGAGGGCACAGCCTGTGGCAGCAGAGCTGCCCAGGGCCGGGGGCAGCCGGGGGTGTTGGTACCAGGCAGTGCTGGGGCCGAGCAGAGCAGGAGGCCTCTTGCAGAGCCCTGGAGCAGCCTCCCACTTGCCAGCCCTGCCCTGGTGGGGTGACACTGTCCCCTCCCTACAGAACACTGCCCCCGAAATCTTCACGGGGGCCTTTTTTTGCCTGTTCCTGGTTGTTGATTCCTGCTGGGGACCTGAGGCACCCTCTGCAATCCCATCCATGGGGCACAATCTCCTCTGTTGAGCTTGACTCACTGGGTTGGTGGCAGAGCCCCGGCGGTGGGCGGGGGGATGTGGGTCCCCCCCATGGTGGGGGTTGGTGTTTCTGGGTCAGGCCCCGCCGGCTCCATTGTCAGCCCGGTGCCGGCGGGGGGGACACAGCGGGTTTGGGCCCCCCAGGAGTGCCGGGGGTGGGTGTGGATCCCAGGAGATGCCGAGTGTGGAGGGCGGAGCGGGGCGATGGCGGAGCTGGGGGACCCCCGGCAGCCTGGAGGGGGGAGCACGGAGAGGGAGGAGCCCTGGGACCCCCGGGAGCCTGAAACAGGGGGCATGGAGAAGGGGAAGCCTGGACAGTGGGGACCCCTGGGATCCCTGGGACAACAGAGTGGAGAACCTGGAGAGGGGGAATGTCTGGGAACTTGGCATCCCGAAGGCGAGAGTCAGAGGAGAAGGGACCCTTGGAACCCCCAATGCTGCCAGCATCCCTGACTGGGACCCCCAGCATCGCAGAGAGGGAATCTGTTCCCAACCCCAGAGGCGACAGACCAGAGAGGGGTAACTCCTGGGAGAATTTCTTTGGGTTAACCTTCATATTTTAAAGTATTTTCTGGCTGAATCTCAACTTTTTGAAGTTTGGGTGGGCGAGGGTCTTCTTGCATGTTTTGAGAGGGTTTTTGCCTGAATCTCAGAGGTTTGGGTTTTTCTGGGCTGAATCTTGGTGTTTTGGAGGTTTTTATGGTCACAGGATGCCCGGTGAGTTCTAGAGATGGACTTGGGCAGGAGGAACCCCCAAGCCAACGCGCTCAGCCCTTGTTTTCCCCCCATCAGGATTTGTCCTTCCCAAAGCTTGGGCGGATGGAGGAGGAGGCTGCGAGGAAGAGGAAGATGCCTTGGTCCCCCCAGGCAGGTGAGGAGGAAGTCAGTGTCCCTTTGGGCGGGTGTTGTGCTGGCTCTGTCAGCCGAGCATGGCCCCGGCTGCAGGACAACCCCGCTGGCGCCGCCGTCCTGCCGGGGCCGGAGTTGGGGGGATGTCCTTGGCCTTCCCTGTGGGCCGGAGGCAAATCCCCTGCCTGTCCTTCTTGCTTCCTGCCCCAGGCCCCGAGGTGAGGACGGAGAGCCCGGAGGACAAATCCCCCCGTGAGACCCTGGTGGGAGAGGCCGTTTTGAAGGGCTCCCCGGCGCAGGAAGGCAGCGGGGAGGAAAAGGGCCGGAGATCCCCCCACAGGAGGGGCTCCAAAGCCATCCCAGGGTGCTCTGAGGAGGAAAGAGCCAGCCTGTGCCAGGAAGGCGGCCGGAACTTGAGGGGGAGCTCTGACCTGGTGGTCCCTGAGCAACCTCCCAGCAGGGAGAAGCCCTTCAAGTGCTTGGAATGTGGGAAGAGCTTCAGGAAGAGCTCTCACCTGCTCAGACACCAGGACATGCACACTGGGGCACGTCCCTACACATTTGAGGAATGTGGGAAGAGGTTCAGCCAGAGCAACCACCTCCACACCCACCAGCTCATCCGCACCGGGGAACGGCCCTACACGTGTGAGCAATGTGGGAAGAGCTTCAACCGGAGCTTTCACCTTCGTTCCCACCAGCACACCCACACTGGAGAATGTCCTTACACGTGTAGGGAATGTGGGAAGAGCTTCAGGCAGAGATCCAACGTCCGCAAACACCATCGCATCCACACTGGGGAACGGCCCTACAAGTGCCTGGATTGTGGGAAGAGGTTTCCAACCAGCGGGAATCTCTACAGGCACCAGCGGACGCACATGGATGAGAGGCCCTTCCGCTGCACCGACTGCGGGAAGGGCTTCAACCAGAACTCCCATCTTGTCACCCACAGGCGCATCCACACAGGGGAGAGGCCCTACAAGTGTGGGGAGTGTGGGAAGAGCTTCACCAAGAGCTCTACCTTGACCCAACACCAACGGACCCACCAGTAAGGGAAGCCCCAGTGCCCCGACTGCGGGAAGAGCTTCGGCCGCTGCTTCCACCCCGAATGAAGCCCCTGATGGTGAGGCAACCCCTGGAGTCCAGTGACTGTCACTCCATCCCTTTTGACCACAAAGGGCCAGTCCCCTTTCACAGGGGCAGCTTCTTCCAACAGAACCCTTCTTGGGGGGGTGTGTGGAGATTCCTGCCTTGGCTGGGGACCCCCCAAGGTCACTCCTGGAGGTTGAGAGCAGAGATCTCCCCACGAGTGTTGGTGTGGGGGAGTTCCATCCATCTCTAATTAAGAATTATTGCTTTTGTGCCACCTTGAGTAGAATTGCTTCAACAATTGCTTTAGTGTAGAGCACTGTCCTATCTTATCCTGTACTCCTGGTAGTTTTAGTGTTTCTATTGTGCAGTAAATAATTCTGATGAAGATCTTTTGTCTGATCACTTGTAACCCTAAATAAATTCATTTCTATCAATAGATCTGATTTGCCATCATTAAACATGTGGGACAAAAGTGTTTCAGTCACACTTCTCTAATTCCTCTAAACTGAAGCTGTTGGCATGATCCAAGGCTGAGATTGGATCCAGCAGCCCCCAGCACCCCACAGGAAGTTGGGAGCTCAGGGGGGTCACCCCCTTTGCCAACCTGCCTGTGCCCAATGACCCCCATGGGACTGTCAGACCCACCAGACCACCCCCCTTTTCCAGCCTTCTCCCTGTTCCTCCCACTTTCCCATATTCCCATCAATCCCCAATTTCCTTCTAAACAGTTTTGGGGTCCCAACCCCTACTTTTTGCCCCCTCTCCTTTGGTTCCTGAAAGAGAAAATGAGGCTGCAGACACAGAGTTCCATTGCAGGACTTGTCTGTCAATGTTTTTCAGTGTCCCCTTTTATTCCTCTTCTCTTGTGAGCAGCGCTTGGTGTTTGTCTTTTAGTCCACCGGAATTCCCAGCATGGCCCCAAAGCAGTGCCCTGACCCCACACATTCCCCTTGCCTCATGTGCTGGCTGTGTTCAGCCTCCAGAGGAAAACAGGCTGGTCATGCAGGCTGGTTCAAGTGCATTTCCACTTGGAGAAACAGCCTTCTCTCTCTCCAAGCACTCAGCCAAGGTCCATCCTCCCTTTGCATTCCCATGAACTCAGGGCAGGTGCAGAGTGACTCCGCTTGGTCCCACCTCTGCCCCTGTTTTGTTTGGACACGCAGAGTTCACGGCCAAGAGGGCCAGGACCCGGGCTTCTTGTCTTGGGGCTTGTCCCATGTGCTTCCAGAGGACTTGGAATATTGAAACCAGACAGATTCTGAACCCCTGCTCCTGGTGCTGCCACAGTGCCCATACACTGGCACTGCAGGCATGGCCTGCACTGAATGGCCAGTGCAGCAGGAGCCGTGGCTGCGGCAGGAGCCGGGATTGCTGCAGAGATGATCCAAGCAATCAGCCATCCACTGAGGATTTCTGCATTTCACAGTTTCCTTAATTCACTGTATCCTGCCTCATCCTCCCAGCTTCTGCTTCCCTGGGAGCCCCAGTTTGGCTCTTCTGCCCATGGGAATTATTAATAATAAATGGAGGGTAGACACGTTTTGATCTGTGATACAACTAAAATAACAAGGAATATTTACAGGGATGTTAAAGGTATTGTCAGTCACACGAATCACAACGTCAAGTGCGGCCAAGAAGGGATCTGAGTGACAGGGACACACCATGGCTGAGTCATTAAGCCAGTCAGGAAGAGTTGGTACACCCAGTGAATTCCCCCTAGAACAGTGTCTTCCTGATGGGACATCCGGGCAGGGCTTGCTCTGCTCAGCATTCCCTGCCTGCTCCCGGGATTCTTGAGGGACAGCCTCTGGCAAGTCCTGGCCCAAGGAGACCTGCCACCACCCCATGTCCTGGCAAGGCTGCTGCCTGTCTCCTGCCCCAAAGAGCTGTGCCCCTGGGGGACTTCTCTGCCAGAGGGCAGCCAAAGCAAAGGGGCACTGAGGTCTGCCCTCTTGCAGGTGGCTGTTGGGAGTGGCAGCTGGAGCAATTGGTGGCAAGACTTGGCATCTGTCAGAAGGCAGAAGCTGTTGCTCCTTCCTGGCATGATTTTTGGGTGGAAGTGATTAGCAGCAGCACAAAACCACCATCAGCTGCCAAGTTTCACAGGACAATTAGATTGGACAGAGAGACTCTCAAGATTTTTGTGTTCTTTTTGCTTGTTTTCTTGCCTTCTGGAAAAAAAAATCAGCCCAGTCTCACATGTTCAACACTCCAGTGTCTGTGTGCTCAGCTGTGGCCAGCAGCTGATGTCCAGTCCATTGGGGAAGTGCAGGGGACAGGGAGAAGTCTGGGATGAGAAGCTGTTCTGTGTCTCCCCTGAAGGTGCCACCCGCCTGCAGGAGCAGCCAAGAGAAGTGCTGGAAGCAGAGACGTTCTGCCAGTTTCTGCTCTCAGGTGGACACAGGGCCCACTTGTTGCCAGGGCTCCCGGAGATTGGATCCGGGAACAAGGCAGGGCCATGCACTGGTAGGGAATGGGCTCCAGCAGGACCAAGGGAGGAATGTCCAGCAGCAAAGTGTGAGCTGGTGAACTGGGCCATCTCTTCAGCAGACACCACAGTGCTTACTTGCCTCCATCCCTGAAGCTCCACCACACGAGGCCCTGCTTTGCTTCAGCTTCTGCTGCTTCTTCCTTTTTTGCCCTCAAGTGTTGGACGTAGAGTTTAGAAGCCCATGCCCGTGTTTTGAAGGTGCCTGTGTGGAGGAGAGGTTGAACAGCTGCAGCCCAAGGCTGGTGTCCCAGCAGAGTCTCTAAGGATGGCACCAGTGGCGCTGGCTGGGGACACCTGAGTGTGGAAGGTGTGTCCAGCCTCAAGCAGGGCCATTGAAGTCAGTCAGGATGTCAGGCTGCAGCTGAAGCTGCCAAGGGTTGCTGTGAGGCTGGGGAGCCACTGGAAAGCTGTGGTGGCCACTTGCCCTGAAGCCTTTTGCCAAAGCGGGTGCAACTGTGCCCACAGTCTGCCCACTTTTGGTGTCCTGGCGGGTGTGGGTGCCTGGGTGAGGAGGCCCAGGCGTTGTGGGTGCTGCTGCTCCTGGGCAGCCTCTGGTGCTGTTGTCTGTGGGGCGCGGAGCCGCTTGGGCAGCAGCGAGTGCGCAGCCCTGCCCGAGGAGCCCAGCGCCCTGCCCGTGGTGGCAGCAGCTCTGTGGGCCCAGAGCTCTGGCTCAGGGGGGTGTCAGCCACAGCCCCGTGGCCTGGGCAGCCGTGGGGGCCCGGGCTGGCCGCCAGCCCTGCCTGTGCCACTGCCCCTCGCCGGCAGCACCCGGCGGACGTGCCCCGGCAGGGCCCCCTTGCCCTCCTTGTCCCCAGCCAGGCCAGCCTGGCCCCCTTGGGGTGTGCCCACCCTGCTGCTGAGGCCTGGCCTCCAGGGCTTCTGCCACAGGGCTGGGAGAGGCCTCGGGAAAGCACCAGAGCAGCCGGCTGGCAGGGAAGGAGGTGGCTGCCTGGGGGCTGCTTATGGCCTCTGCCCCCCAAGTCCTGGGGGCCTTTCCCTCCACCCTGCCCCTTGGGGCCTGCGCCCAGTCTGTCCCCTCACAGCCTTCTGCCACCCACCCCCTCACAGATTCCCCTCAAGGCTTCCCGCTCCTTTGTCCCATCAGGGCCTCCACAGCACCTCACCCCTTCCTGGCCTCCCAGCGCCCCCTCCCCTGCGGGTCTCCCCCAGCCCCGCCAACCTGCCCGGCAGTGGTGCAGCCCTGAAGGAGCTCCAGAGGAGCTGCTCCAGAGGCACTTGGGAGCCCGGAGCAATCCAGCCAGTAACACACAGGCAGGACACAGACGCTGCTTCCTGGCTGGGGGAGGGCTTGTGGCCATCTCCAAGGACAAGGTCCTCAGGGTTCCCCACAACTCCAGCCTTTGGCCCTCCATTTCTGGAAACGTTGAGGCTCCAGGAGAACCACCAAAGGCCAAGGGGCTTCTGCTTGCTTTTGCTGGCCCACTGCACAGTGGGGCAAGTGTTGCTGAGCACAAGGAGCCCTTTTCCCCTCTTCCCCAAGGCCCTGTGCACACTGGGCACCAAAAAAACCTCCTGGGCTTCTGTATGTGATAACATGGATGTAATGTTCCCATGCTGAGCTCAAAGGGGGTGCTTGCAGGGAAGAGGCATCTTCCCCACAGGCTCAGGTGGCCCCAGGAGATGGAGCTTCCTGCATCAGTTCTCCACAGAGCTGCAGCAGCACAGGCAGACACTGCCCTGCGGAAAAGGCCGGGCCTGCCACGCCCTGCACAGCCAGTCTTGGAGCTGCTGGAATCTGCAGTAGGGAGCCATCTGTACAGCTCTTGGCACGTAGCAGTGTTGGATTGCCAGGCCTGCCATGGCGAGTCTGATGTCTTCTGTCACACCTCTATGGGCTGGAAGAGGCAGCAACGGAGACTACCAGAAATGGAAGAATGAAGTTCTCCGTACAGCTCTGATGATGTGGAGCGTTTCCTGGGCCAGGTTTGAGACGGCAGGGCTGTCATCAGTCATGTCTTGAAGGGCTGGAAGAGAAAGGAATAGAGCCAAGGTGAGAGGCCAGGGGTGTGGGGATGCGAGGAGCCCCTCCTGCCAGGGCCATCCCAGCCAGCTCTTGCCATGGCCAGGAGGGAGCAGGGCCCAAGGGGATCAGCTGGAAGGTGCTCTCGCTCACCCTGGCAGATGAGCTGCAGCTCTGGCTGCTCCTTCTTCATGGACCTGGCGGCGATCCCTGGGAACACAGAGCCTGTCAGGCCCCAGAGGCACAGGTCCCCCGCAGCGGTGCTGCCAGCCCGGCCACACGGCCTCCTGCCCTGGCAGGGCTGAGCCCGGGGCCTTCCCGCATGGGGACGCCCCAGGGCTGGGCTGGCACAGGGCGGCAGCAGGTGCTCGGGGCCACTCGGGGCTCCACATGCCCTGGGCCGCATCCTGCTGCCGCTGCAGCAGCCGGGGCTGGGGCCGAGCTGCAGCGGGGTGGGGAGGGACCCCGGCCTTGTGGCTCACCCAGAA